TCGAATGAGCCCAGACATCTCTTCTTCCCAAAATCGAATCACGAGTTTTCTCAAAACGTTATCTTCCTTTCGGCTCTTTTACGATCTGAGCAGTATCAGATCACACACGACGTCAAAATGTGGGGGGAAATCAATAGAGAAAGGTGGTACTTGATACACCATTAAATTCTCAAAAACAATTTACCAGAAAATGAGGAGCAGATAGCAGGGAGAGTTGATTAGATATTGACAGTGGTATGGTTTAGAAAAGGGTAAGAAGAAGAATTGATCACGAAAGTATCATGAGCAAACAGAAACCTTTTTATTCTTCTTTTTTCGTTTACGTTTCTTTTTATCCTTTTCCCGTTCGATATTTCTTCCCAAATTCATATTTCTAGACTGTTCTGCTAAATTCACTTCTTGGTGTTTCTTGTTCTTTTTACGACGTTTTTTCTTCGGTGACAGATTTACATACGCTGATGAATGTGCAGAATCGCTGTTATTGTCATCATTCACTGATTGTGTTACGTCTTCTAGAGATCTTTTCCTTTTTCGTCCAGGTTGTGAACCATTGCTTTCTAAGGTTTTGTGATTCAACTCAGTCTCATTGCCATTCCTCACAAAAAGTGCCACGAAAAAACCGTTGGTGAAATCTTGATCAGGTGAAGCTCGGATGCATCTCTCTGCTGCAAAGGTACAAGAAACAAGCCCCTAATTAAATGCCGTCCTAAACATTTTTGAGATTCAGTGTCGTAAAACCAAAACCAAAATGATCAAAACGGTCAATCAAAGGAACGGAAAACAACTTTAAAAGAACTCAGAGCAAAAACAACCAGACTGCCTAAAGCGCGGGAGAAGTGGCAACCAATTCGTGACTGGTTTTAGTTTTGCATCTGATTGGTTGAGAGAGTGGCGTGAGTCTTCTGGACCAACCACAGAGCGAAATGAAGTAAAGCCAATAAAATCTTGGACTACTTTCGACACCAAATTGAAAATTTCTCTGGGAAATCACACCATCAGTCAAACAGTCCTAGAAAGAAAAGCCAAATAGTTGACAAAAATGATTACATGAGCTCCGTCAAACCTCGGATACAAAAAACCCTAACCGTTGTCTCCATTTCTGCTTCTCTGTAAAATCTAATATTTCATCATCCCCGAGACGAGACGTAATACTTTACAAAACCCTTGTTTCAAGAAAATTTGTGCTGCTGTTGAAAGACCTTTTTATTAACTATAGCGCTAGTCTCCTCGAAAGCCTTTGTTTGGGTCTTCTCACGCAACCTTCTTCCTCTGCACCAAAGCACACTGCGTGTCAAACAGCCTCGTCACCCAACGAACTTCCTCCACACCAGAACACATTGCGTGACGGGACCAAACAGCAGCTATGAAGTACTCTACAATGAAACCTACCCTCAGGAAACACAGCCATTCCCCTGTGTGTCCAGGATGGTAAAGCATGCTCCAGTGAAAATCTGTCCCTGTTTGCATTTAAAGCTGCCTCCACCACATCTTCATTTTCCTTCCAGGGAAAAGAAACAAAACCGAGTTGTAAAAATGATCTAATGGTCAGTGCACTGGACTTCGTGGTCAGAGGTCTGGGTTGGTAATCTGGCTGGGTCAATATGTCGCATTCTGAAGTACAAATTCATACTGGCAAATTATCAGGGAAGTTGGGTGAAATGCAAGGGGGGGGGGCACCTGGCAATGGACTAGCAACCCATCCAGGGGGGTAGTGATTTAGTTGCTTTGCGCTAAGGAAACCATGATAAGCATTGATAAGTGTGCATTGCATGCCCACTGACTGTCAAGTGGAAGACGAGTGCGAGCGATCCAGGCACAAGTACTACTCCATTATCAAGCTTTGGAACTGGAACTCTGAGGACCTCACCAGGGGAAGCACTATTCGGGTTGAGTGTTACTCTGTGAATCACGCGGTCTGCCTTGAGAGCGATTGACATCTTTTTTTCAAAACTTGGGCCAATTCTTTCACTGACTTCCATTTTTTTATAAAAGATATTTTAAAAAATGGCAGATTTTGGAGATACTGATCCTCTGTTAGAACATAATGATGATGATGATGATGATGATGATGACGAACGAAGTGAGGCGGGAGCAGATGAAGGTGACACAACAACACCTTTTCAACCAGACAAGAATTCAACTCCAGGGCTCTCAGGCGAAGAAATTCCAATGACGACAATGAACAGAGAGCAAGAAACGGGCACAAAAACTGCTAAGACATCTTTTATTGAAGGTGATATTTTTGGTTCGCGAGTTTTAACTTCAAATGAGAATGCATGGGAAACACTTACTACAATTTTTCCTGAGGCAAAAGCTTCAGAACTTGAAGTTTCTTATAGCAAGAAAGGAAGGTTGCAGGTGAAGATGTTTGGTCAAGGCAAGAAGACATATCCTTTGTTTACTGAAGAAAGAGGCACAAATGAGCAGAGGTTGAATCCAAGTCTCTCAAAAGAAATTAAAAAATCACTTGGTCCAGAGCGAGAGGTTTTGATTGCACAGAAAGATAAAGAAATTGAGAAGCTACAACAGTCAATTCAAGATGATCGAGATATTGCTGATGATGAGAATGAAAACCCTGCTATAAGAGAACGAGCAAGAGAAAGGATAGCAGAAAATCAAGA